GTATTTCTTCTTAACGACTTGACTGATTTGGTTCAATTTTTATGTAGTACTTATGGGGTTACCTAGATGGCTCTTAGCTGTATTTAAACCCGATAAACGGAATCAAGGGGTATAAAAGTCCTCAGTAGCTTGCTTTTATGTTAATACTAGCACCATCTCAAAGTCGTATAAAGCACTATGTTCTCTACTATTATTACATATTTTTATTAAAAGATGGCATCATGACTGCCAAAATTTATTATTTATAACGAAGCCTAAATCACGCTATCAAAGTTTTGAAATGTAGCGGTATATACAAGGTAAACACCGTTGTCACTAAAACCATAGGTAGTTGGCTTTAATATAAAAAATTTATCCGAATTTTTAAAAAAAATGCTATTTTCTTTCATAAAATTTAAAAAGTTTTGTCCGACACCGTCCGTAAATTCATGGATACCCTATGCGCCCCAGTGACGTAATCACTGTAAAGATCACCGCCCGCGCTAGCTACCTACACAACATTTCAATAAAAACACAATAGGTACACATAACCTGTGATGTAACTTTTCCTTCATACTTTCAACCTGGCTTAGGACAGGCAAAAATTGAGGAATTAAGGAAAAATTGAGATTTTACAAAAAAATGTTATTTTTCATTGAATTTACGTTCTATAAGTGAAACCAAACCACTGGTTTCAAGGATTTAGTGTTTACACTAACACTCTGTATATAAAATTATTTTTCGGATGAAGCCATGCAAGATATTAATACATATAATGAGAAAGTTTTGTATATAGCGAATTAATTAATTTCTAAATAAGAACATTTCCTATTATTATTTATTAAATATTAAAATAAAATATTGTTACAAATTTGATAGCGCCCTCTAGTGTTTTTTTGGTAATTTATAATCCCATCGCCATCTATTAGAGCGATGAAGAAACTTACCTCATTTAGTCACCAAATTTGTTAGGAGTGGCTCATCTATGCCCTATATAGTATATTATCTGAGTGTAACTATCATCTAGACCAAAAATTACCCGTGTAATGCCGGGGCGGGATCGCTTGTAAGAGATGTGACAAAGTTGTCCAACTGCCACTTCAATTATTGGAGTGGTTATGAGTCTGTTTCGTTAGTGAATAAAATTAAAATCAACAGTTTGTATTTAAAGATTTATTTAACGTAGTCTTAGCTTAGTTTTTCCAAATGAATGATAAGTAAAAGCTAATTACACCTTAGTGTATTTTAGATTTAAGATAAACTATAATAGTCTGTTTATTTATATTCTTTATAGGTGCTGCTTGAGCACTATTGTTAAGATTTGGATCATATTTTTATGGGATATTGCGTTTTTTACAGTCTTATTACAAAAAAGTTTTTTGTCGGTTTCAATAAAGTTCCATAGAAATTATACGAAAAACAAATTGATAAATTTCGCAAAGATTGTAGCATCGCGGCAAGGGGACTGCTATTGTGACACTCTTCTTTAACCTTTTGAGCGCGACGCCAAAAACGCATTACCGTGTCCTGCACGCCAAAGCGAAAAGTAAACAAAAATACCTACGAAAAAAAATAGTGTTGCCAAAAGTTGATATATCGATAGCACAAAATAACTTGATTTTGTTGGTTTTTTATGCAATAAATGACTCTTTATAATCCGGTATGTTTTATTTAATTTTGTGCTGTCTTCCACTCTTTTTATATATGTACTTTGTACATAAACTCATCATCGACGCTTTCCAAAATGCGAACGAGTTCTGAGGAATCGTTCATGTTGCACTGCACTACTTTTCCCGCTAATTTAAGCGACAGTAGCCTAATGGCAGAGCACGGACCGCGAACTCAAAAAGGTCGTGGGTTCGAATCCCCCATTCGACTACTGGCGTGAACCACTCGTAACACAAGCAATTTAAGTTTACCACGAGTGGTTAAGTGGAATATTAGTAATGTTTATAGCATTGTTTTATGACGTCATCAAGGTGTCGTCTATCCTTGACCACGGTGCCCAGTGAACTGATTTTCGATGACGCGCTAAAGATGCGCCAGAGTTGAGATTTTAGATTTAATATGCGAAGTTAATTTGATAACATTTTTATTCATGTAGCTAATTATAGTTTGATGTTTCTAACCTTTTATTTTATTCAAATATCAATAATAATAGAAAAAATAACACGTTTGAGCTGAATTTTGGATAATTTTTAAGAAATCTATACCTCCAGCGTTCAACACTAGCGGTCAATCATAGACGACTTGGCGTGCTGGACATAGTATTCGCTTAGATAAAAATCCATTTTTTTTAGTTCAATATTTCTTAGTACTTGTGGCTCTAGGAGACTTGTTTTTTATACTCACGTTACTGGTTTATCCTTTTTTGAGGAGTGTAGAATTAAAATACCAGTAATAATTTTTCAATATCTCAATTTCATATTTTTGTGGGCCGGGTTTTTTGTCAACCATAGACGTCGTTGGCGCTCAGAGCCCGCAGGTGCTGGTAAGTATAGGCGACTTTGGCGCTCAAAATGTTAAGGCTCTCTTTTAGAACGGGGTGAAGGTATGCAAACGTCAGCTCTATTCCCGCAATGGAGAAGATAACAAGTTAACAATATTAGACTTTTAAGTACGTAGGTAAAAAGTCTAGACCAAACACATAATTCTAGTTTTTATTTCACATCGATCAGTGCACTATTACCGACGTTATAAGCGTGGAAAATTTACGTACATTTTTAAAATTTCGCCCATGCCGGCGAGTAGCGCGTGACGTCATCAATTCCATTCGGCCAGCCGGCACGAGCGGCAAGTTCGCAAGTTTCTCTAGAAAGTGAAGATTTTTCTCCATAGCTCGAAGAATCTTTGGTTTCTGTACTTTTATGTGAAACTTTGTTTTTTAGGTTTACTTGAATTTTTTTGTAGCGGGAGTATCAGCGTTGTTAGTTATATATTCTTCTGGCAAGGGATCAATGTCAATATTATGTTATCTAGAGTAGTAACAGGATCGACAACATATATATGCTCAATTTCTTATGAAGTAGTGGCAATCGCATGTGCAACTGTTTCTAACCTAGATTTGGCATTTAGTTTTGATAGTAAAGATCTTTGTGGTTTTTCTGTACAAAGATTTTGACAAGCAGACTTGTGAGGCAAAACATCTTTTTTAAGTTTGAAGGGGACCACCAACTAGTTTGTACTTCACGTAGTTTTCCATATCGTTTTCGACCTAGAACGAAATACAAACTTATTTAAAGTCTATAAAAAAATAAGGAACCTCGTAATTTGTATTCCATCAATATTTAAAATATGTATCAACTATGTAATACATAAAAATTAGACAACACGAAAAAAAAATTTAAGTGCTCCACTTAATAATCAAACTTCTTCCATTATTTGCGGCACGCAGGTAATGTATGCAGGTTGAACTGCTCTGCGATGTGTTTAGTTTTTGCTCGAAATATCGTAAAAATATAAGAACGTTCGTTAACATATTCCATATTTTAACCTTTATATGCATTATAAACATTTTAAAATTTGCTGCAAACATAGGTAGGTATCTAAACTTACGAACTCATGACAGGTCATTGACTTATCTACGTTACATAGGTACTTTACCCAAGTTTGGATGTTTATTTACACTGAAGTAGTTTTAGTTTAATATGTAGGTATTAGGTATTGTTTCTTCTTGAAATTATAATGATCATTAAGCGTGGAAAGGTTCAATAAATCGTTAGTTACTTAAACACTGCGACTCGAGTAGGTAGGGTAGGACCTACACGCCTAATAGAAAGCATATACTAGCAATAACCAAGAGATATCATGTGAAGGTTATTATTATTTAAATACATCAAAATGATCCTCACAAAATATGCTACCATGTTTGGTCCTAAAGGATGTGCTCTTCTCATAGCATTTGTTCATTTTTTTCTAATGGTAAGGTTTCAAGGCACATTAAAAAACAACTTTTCAGGTGTTTTTGTGGCCGTATTTTTTCATTTAGGCACTGCACAATATTTAAAAGATGGTGTCATGTTCTATAATTTTTCTTGTTAAAAATAGATAGCAAGTAGATTCGCGCGCGACGGGCACATTCGAGTAAATGTTTTGATTTTCTAAGTACGCGTTGGGTCGCTCGCACGAAAATGGAAGTCGTGACGTCATCAACGATGTCGCGCTCGGCCCGCGGCTTAGACCGAAAATGTTAACTTTGCGCCTTTATATCTCGGTCAGTTTTGAAGATAGAAAAAAATTAAAAACACAGTTTATTCTCGTAATTTTTTGTAGAATTTTTTGGCATATAAAACAAAAAATGGTTATCTTCTCCATTGTCGTGAAAATTAGCAATATAACGAAAAAATATTTTAGAAAAAGCAACGCACGTCCAACATCAAAAGCATCCCAGATAGCACTGGCTGGTGAATTTGGAGCACTTGAACTGTACGATTTTGTAAGAATTTTTATGAGATAAAAATAAACACGATTTTTTAAGAGAAGTGTTCTCAACATGACCTAAAAAAATAAAAAGCCCCTTCATTTGATATAACTTTTACACATCCTGATAATGGAACCTCGGCAAGGTAAGGTCTACGCGTTCTATCTTGGCCGGACCGGGCTGAAGTTATAGTTGTCAAAACATCCATCCAGGCTGTGTGTCAAATATCTATTGTCAATAACTGTCATCGATTGCGGCGTTCAATTCGCGCGATTTTTTTTAATTTGAATGTGACGGTCAAGCGAGTTCAGTGATTTTTCCCCATACCAAAACAGCTATATACGAGCTCTATAACACAATCTGACCGTGACGGTCATGCGAGTCCAGTCATCCCAAAAGTGCCAAACATACCTTAAAGAAGTTTTAACTTAAAAAACATGTTTTGTAATAAGACAGTATTACATCTGTTTTGCCTACCACATATCCTGTCTCAATTTTCTCAAATTTAAAAATATGAGCAGCACACAACACTTTTATTTTGTCATCTTATATAAACACTCGAATAATAAAGTATAAACTAAAAACTAAACACTACAGGCACTCAATCCTCATCCATTGCTTCTTCCTCTTTCTTTTCCTTCTTCTTCTTTTTCTTCTTCTTCTTAGCACTGGCCACTGCTTCTTGTTCCTGTTCTTGTAGGGCCTCTTCCATTGCCTGTTTCATGACGTCGATGTTTTTCATTGGGATGTCACCCGTCTCATAGAACTTCAAACGATCCTCCACTTGCTGACGAAGTTTCTCGCCGAATATTGTTGTTTGTGTTTCTGAAATGAATATTCTTTAACAATTCTTATCATAAATTTTTTCCTCCTCATAATCTACCTATATATGAATATTATAATATTATGGTATGAAATTTGTGTGAAATATCAGTTAACTATTGGTACATGGTAGAGCCATGCTACAACTATATTATAGTTGTAGCATGAATGGATCAGCTCTACAGGGGTATGACCATGCTCCCACAGAATACCAGCGAAAATAGCAGCTTAATGCTGCTGTATTTCGTATGGAAGTGTAGAGAACCTGTATTTCGTATGGTAAGTATGTAATCGGAGACCCTTTTTACAGGAAACGAGGCATTCCATTACAGTCCTAAGGGATAAAAACGCATCTGCATTTTGATTCTTAAATGAGAATAAGTGTATATGTGTATGGGCCACAGCATCCTACCATCAGGTAGACTGTGTGTCTTTTGTTGTATAATCTCATATTAATGATTTCATAACAGGGAAGGTAACAAATCGGGAAGTGAACAGTAGCATCTTCCTCATAATGACAAAAAATAAAAAACTGCAGTTGCCAACCCGCTTGCCAAGCGTGACAACTATGCCAACTATCCCCCTATGAGGTAATCTATGTCCAGCAGTGGACTCTAATAGGATGTAGCGGTAATGGATTTCAGAACAAGTCCAAATAAATAAATATTGTCAAATATATCATGTAGCAATGATTTGACACATAACTCAAAAATATAATTACGTGTTTATACATCACATGCTTTTGATATTGCACACTTTTATTACCACAAAAGACAACTTTTGCAATAGATCAAGGTGTGCAAACAAAATAATCAATATCACTACTGATATAGATCTTCCTAATTTCTTCTATTGTTACCGCCCATCAAAGTCCACTACACTCTCGGTAATCCGGCCCCTGGCTAATACGCACCCCTTAATGCCTTTAACATGTAGGTACAATCGAGTCGCATTATGAATTCGTCACGGGGAGGCATCATTCGCATCATATGTAGACAAACAGGTTGTAATTAGTGCGCGCAATTTTCTCAGGTTAAATGTGACAGTGGTTGCGCCTTCGGGGGCATTCATTTGATATTAACTGTGCATCATATGACTTTTTTATTTTTTATTGTTTCATATTTGATATGTAATTTATCGGATTAGAAGGTACTCTTTTTTAAAAAGTTCCGGACCACCAAGTGGCTGTTACAGTACTCCACAGTCCATCAAATTTGATAATCCGACAGCGCCTTGCAAAACATTTGTCGGATTACCGCAGTATTGGACTGTTGAACATAGGTTTCCTTCAAAGATGGGATGGTTATGTGATAGTTGGCAGATATCTGTTATTTTCTTAATATTATAGATTTATAATTTATCACAGTTTAATAATAAAAAAACAGTCATTCAAAACTATATTGTAGTTAGATAGTTATCAGTGACATCTAAATTTCCATTTATATATATTTTTTATATATACAATTTATATACTTATATACAAATTAGGCAACAGTAAAATAAAAACAAATCACTGTAACCCAAATTATTATAACTATCCCGATACAATCCAATTAACTACAACAAATGAGAACAATGCCTAGCAGTGCCGGTTATGTTGCTTTGGTTTCTTTTTTTTTTTTTTTTTTTTTTTTTTATTTTTTTTTTTTTGTTTTTTTTAATGATTCTTAAAAGCACCTTATGTCACATAAAATAAATCAGAAATTAAAACAAATGTGTTACATACCAGAGAAGCAATCAATTCTTGAAGCGATGGAGCACTTGTTGGCCAAGTATCTGCTGATCCGACCTTTGTTCTTAAGACCGGCGCGACCGATAAAAGTAGAATGATACAGCAGACCGTACTTGGGTGTGTTGGAACGAGTTTTCAAAGCACGGAATAGAGCTTTCTCGGCCCCTGAAACAAATTTATATTGTGATTTCACAAGTCCATACATGTGTGGAGATCTTGTGAGCTTTTTTATATAGAAGTACATATGCTCAGGCCCTCTTGCATTAGTTATGACTAATGCAGAAGGCCTGAGCAAAGGTACATGTGAAAGTCAGGTTGAGTCAGTGTTGCTAGCAGAGTAGTAGTGGATTAAAACATGGATTTAAATAATACTAGTTTTTACAGATCTTATCGCGTATATTTAACTTTTTGAACACCCGACGTTTCGAGCACTTCACAGCACCCATGGTCATGGAGGAGACTGAAATATTCAACATCTAGATGTCAAAGTTAACCACAGTTACCATAGATTAAAATTATTTATTATTATTATAATTTTAATTGATGGTAACCGCAGTTAACTATGACATCTATATGTTGAACATCTCAGCCTCCCCCGTGACCATGGGAGTTGTAAAGTGCTCAAAACGTTGGGCATTTAAAAGTTAAATCTACGCGATAAAATCTGTAAAAACCAGTATTATTTAAAGGTGTATGTTCGCGTAAATATAAGAAATCATTATGTAAAACATGGATATTATAAAATTGCACGAAGGATGATATAATTGAATGTATCTCTGTACCTAAAATCTGCAATGTAGAAGCAGGATACTTGGCGAGGCTTGTGAGAGATCCAGCCTTAGAGATGAGTCTTGCTCCAACTTGGTCACCAATCAGTGTGGTGAGGTTCGGAGCTACCGAATTCATCTTCGTATGTAGATACTCTGCTATCTGCTTCCTGAACAAATATAAATTAATGTAACATATAACAAATAGCTGTGGTAACTTAGAGGGTAAATTTCATAGGAGCAACTAGAGTTTGATTCGTATGGCATTCATTTATTATAGCCTGTCGAAAGTCTACTGCTGAACACAGGTGTCTGCTATTTATTTAGACTACTTTAATTAGACATTTTTATAATTTAAGCTCTTAATGAGCACACAATGAGTTGTAAGTGTATATTTAATCTATGTTTGTCCATAAAATATGCAACATATTGAGAACAGAACTAAAATAAGCGCAAAAAACAGAGATGACTGTGTTTTTGTTTCTATAGAGATCTGTTTGCAGTCTTGAACTTGATTAAAGGAAAATTCAATTCTACTTTGCTTTGGATGCCATAATTGCATGTAGGCTTAACATTGAGATATGTCAATAACTTTCAATATTTAAGGTTTTCTATTAGTTAACATTTGTAATAAGTAAATCAACTTTTCTGAGCCTGCTGGAATCACGAATTTTTAAAAAAATTGAAATTTTATTTGCAATAAAAATAACTATTTATGTCATGAATAAAAGTGATAAACAAAAAGTATGAATTTTTTACATGTAATAAATGTATTACTCAATTCCTACTTACTATAAAAATATTTCATACCTGTAGTTACTCAGTGCCACAACTCTTCCAGCAAACATCTGTATATTAATCAAATCCACTGGTGAAATGTCCATTCCCATAGACATCTTTGAAGCATCAATGATAGCCTGAGCCTTTTCTGAATCACCCAAAATCTCCGTGAGAGGTTCTAGAGACTCCTCTGACAATGACTTTCTGTCCTTGATGTACTCTGCACATTTCGTGTAAAGATGGTTCTCAGGTACTATGCTCACCAGCTCTGGGAAATGGTAGGAGTACCACTCTCTACAAAGAAAACAAATAAAACATTGTCTCATAAAATAATGTAGCATTTAAACTTCTCACTAAGCAATGGCTTAAGAGTCCATCACTCTGGTTCGTCCCATGGGGATCGTAAGGTGTGAATATGTGATATCATTGTTTACATCAGATGTATAATACTTAACGATGGGCAACAGCTACAAAAGTATAATTGTAGTAGAGCAATTGTCAATTAACTTGCAAAGTGAGGATTAAAACTAATTTTCTATATGATAGAAAAGGCCCAGGTCCATCTTTGAAATTGTACAGGCATAAGAAAAGCAAAATTAAGAGGTACGAGTAGGAACGACAAGGAACATTTCTTTGCATCACTCTAAATGATAGCTGAAGTTTTACTGTACAATTAAATTTAAAGTAAAAGTTTCCAATAAATTGTGTAGTATGAATTGAGGATTTTTTTTCTTACCACCATGCTTAGCAACATAGAATCCTATAATACACAATAGAATGACTGTCAACCTTATTTTGTACGACGATAGGCGTCGCCGGGAGCACACATACAAGCAATTACGTAGTATTATCACTACTACCAACCCAATTCGCTGTGTTAACAGACAGATTTTAATACATATTTATTTGTAAATAGCGTGCTAATTTGGCATTTTCTAAATAATTTGCATGCGAAATTTGGAAATAATTGTAACGTCAAAATACATCTCATGTTGACATTTATACGTGTGAATTGACGTGTTAGTGACATTTTAGTGGTTACACGAGCTCCGCCCATTCCCCAGTTTTATTATGTATGTAAATTATAGTATTCTATGCTTAGCAAGCGAATTGACATTGCAGAATCAAAAATCTCACACCTTTAATGAAAGTGCCTAATCTTATAGATACATTAAACCTTTACACAGATTTGAAAAGTATTATGATGATATTATACACCAGAAGAATTGCAGGTGCATAAAAAGAAGTAAGCTTGTTTAGTAATTAACTGCTGACAGCAGCTAACTGGTAGTTAAAGGTAGCATTTGTAGTGGTAATAGTGTTGCGCGCCACAGTTAATGTCTGGTACATGGCACTAGCGCCATCTAGTATCGAATAGAAGAACTAAGCTTTCTAGTATAATCTTGCATAGCATTGAGTACTTTAAAAAAAGAAACAATTACCTGATTCTCATAGAGAAGGTGTTAATATCCTTATCAAGTTGATCCAGCAGTGCTATTGACTGTATAATCATGTTGTCCACTCTATGCACATTAAACTTAACTCTGGCCCTAGAGTAGGAATGGCCAAGACCAAGCTGAGCTATGCTACATGCTTTGAGTGTGAGGCCTTTGATGAGTGCATGGAAATGGTGCCGTATGCCTGGAAAAATTCATTAGTATCATAAATTGCCTGTTGTTAGTAAGCCAAATATTTAATTTCAGGGTTAAGTATAAGTTAACATTTTACTGCTCGGCGGTGAAGGTGAGGAACATCGTGAGGAAACCTGCATGTTTGAGAAATAATAAAAAAAAAGTATTTCGAAGACATGCGAAGTTCGTCAATGGGGCAACGCGGCGGACACTTCCTTGTCCTAAAACCCTCTCAGAAATGAGGGGAGGTCTGGTCCCAGCAGTGGGACGTATATAGGCTGTCACTAACATTTTACATTACATTTACATTACAAAAAATTAAAAAAGGAAATACATTGCCCCTTCAGCTTACTAATCTATTGGGCTATGTCGGTCACATATCATCTCATTTCTAAGTCTATCGCGCAGAGAAACTTCAAGCATAGCTCATCATATGGCTGAGCGATCTTGAGCTTTCTAATAAGGCCAGTAGTGAAGGAACATGTCTCTTACCCCAAGAAAGTTTCTTGAGTGGCGAAGTCATACTGGTATACAAAATGTAGGTCGGCCCCCACTAGATGGAATAATAACCTGGTAAGAGATGCAGGAAGTGGCATTCCTTAGGGGAGGTCTATGTTCAAGAGTGAACTTGTAAAAGGCTGTGATGATGATGGTGATGATGATGATGATGATAATGATGATGATGATTAAAGAAATTCAATATCCAATAACAACAATATTCGTAACACTAGCAATATTTCTCCCACAGCTTTTCTTAAATCAAAAAGTTTTTCTTAAAGATCATTTTTATAGATTTTACGAACCAGTGGACAATTTTTATTAATTTACTAGCTGTTCCCCGCGACTTCGCCCGCGAGTAATTTAGAGTTTAAATTTTTTGCACGGAACCCTAATGCTTTTTCTAAAATAAAATCAGCTATCTGCCTATTCCATTCCATATCTTTCAATTCTTCACCTGTCGAAATCGGTCCAGTCGTTTCTGAGAATAGCAAGAGAACAAACAGACAGACAGACAAACATTTAAAAATTGTGTTTTTGGTATAAGTACTGTATACACTTTCATATGCATTTAGGAAAAAGCAGCACAACCATCACACAAACACACAAACATCAACAGCCCATTCAATATATACGGGGATTCTGGATAATTTGTAATATGGAAGGGAGTCCTGATTGATTTCCCTCCGTCTGGCAATATACGAATATTGTTTCGACATATGGTAAATTTTCAAAGAAATGGACCTCCCCCATGAATTTCCTCATATTGATGGACATGTGTCATAGTCAACGCTCTTGGCAGGCTGGTTGTCAACTGTGGTTTTATTGTTATCGAGGTGTAATCAGGAATATGCTGCCGCCCATCAATTTACCCCTGTTGCTTCTTACAATACCCATGACTTTGTATGAGATAGTGGGTATTCTTACGCCTGGACTATATGGCTACTTTACTAACTGCAAAATTTTTAGGTAAGAGATGATCACATTACATTATTAAAACTACCTCTGATAATCTCTGGTACTGCCCCAGTATGTGAGCATGGTATCTCGAGAGCTTCGCTGATGGCAGCACCAAGTTTCGGGTCTGCTACACCTAGAGTACATTTTGACCTTTTCTTGCGCTTTGGCAAAGCACCTTCAAGAAACAAGTTAAGGTCCTCTGGCACAATACCTACGAATAATAAAAATATATTTTATTTTCTTATTTTACCAATCTTTACACATTATAATACAGGGTTACTTAATTTATGTATATATTATAATTTATGTAAAATGGCCTACGGGTTACGGACAAGATAGATTTCAAAGAATCGTTTTCTTGCGCCATGGGAGCTCCGCTCCGAAAATTGAGATTTTTCAAAATAATCATAGCAATATTATTGACAAATTTATGCTGCAAAAGTTAGTGGTAGAGTTAGCAAGGGGCACCCTAGATATTTATATATATATATATATATATATATATATATATATATATATATATATATATATATATATATATATATACATCCCGTAACTTATTGTACGTCCACTATGGCCAATTTTGCATATAATCTGGCGTCAACCTGCTTACGACGTCCAATATACGTCAAATAGGAGACTTAGCGCAATGTTCGCAAATTGACATGCTGATCACAGAAATGTCAAAATCTAAAAAAAATTTGGACGTCATTTTTCTTCCAATCTTGCTGTACTGAATATTTACGTACTACCGCTAACTTTCGTTGCAAAAATAATAGCGCTGCTGTCGAATTGTGAATACTTTCATTTATGGCCGTATTTGACTTCCGCACAAAATTAGAAGATGACTGCCTCGTTGGTCTAGTGGTTGTAGTAGTGCGACTGGCGACTGCTGATCGTGAGGTCCTGGGTTCGACTCCCGGGTCGGGCTAAAAAATCAATTATTGAGTTTTTCTGTCAAGAAATTATCAATCTGCCCGGAGTCAGGAAGTTGGCGGTGTATCACCCCCGTGCCTCGTAAGCACGTAAAGACGTTGGTCCTGCGCCTGATCTCTCTCCGGTCGTGTCGGTTTACCGTGTCATCGGATTATGAGAATGAGGGAATAGAGAGTGAACCTGTGGTTGCGCCTACACTTGGTCACTATAATCCTGTCCTGCGCCGATGGCTAGTCTTCGTTGAGGCAGGCCGCCGTAACCGTAATTAGGTCTGCAGGGCATTATTGTATGGTTTATACTGCGCTTGGTACTAGTAATTTTACTTTTAAACTTGTTTTCTTAACTTTACATTTACCTACACATAATATGGATGTCCGAATATCCTAAAACTTTCATACTGAATGATATTTGACATCCGTATTTTTGAATTTAGTTATATTTCTATAAATGTCTGAGATGCGGAATGTTTAAGATGCGGACGTTGGCTTATCGGTTTATTTCATGCTGCACTATATTTTAACATTTTACATTTGATACTAATCTGCCTAAAAGAACTCTTGTTAGGTATTTCGTAAGCAATCCATAATTCTGTTTGAGTATAAGTTACCTTCTGATTGAGTACAGGAAGATGGACTCAGTTTTAGATATTGACAGGTTTCATAGAAGTTTGTTTTATTATATTGTGACTAATAACCTCTGACTAATAACATAATATGGTCTGTCGAAGAAACTCATTTTAATATAAGGTTTAACTGCCAATAGGTTGTTAATTTCTACAATAGACCGTAGCATATTATTGCTGACATAACTCCGAAAATATAATTTATTTACTTGATCGTGTTGAGTTTTGGTGCTCTCACTGCATCTTAAGGATGAATGCGACTATTGTACCTAATCTGTACGAAATTACTCTCTACTTAACTAGATTCATTTTTGTGAGAGGCTATTTTTGTTAAATTATGATATTATGTTTGGTTTTGCAGTTAATTGAAATACAATTTAATTTTTCACACACCTTTTCTAAGCTTCCAAGCGTTTTATCATTTCTAGAACGAAACATTTTATAAAACACCAAAGTGAGTATTTTACACCACATCCCTACACTAAAATACGAATAAAACAATTCCGAAAAATGACATTAAAGCAATGATCATTAATGTGTGTCTTATACACAAGGAATTAAAATATAAATGAATTCATGGTTATATGGACGTCAAATATCGTGTATCGGTATTAAACTTTACCGATAATATGACGTCCACATATAGAAATATAACAAAATTCAAAACATGGACGTCAAATATCATTAAGTATGAATGTTTTAGGATATTCGGACGTCCATATAATTATGTGTATACAGGTATTAATTTAAAGTTAAAATTTTGGCGCACACAGAGCCCCAAAACATTTATGAAAAAATAAATAAGAAAGGTTTTCTAAGCGTTTTGTCGTTTGTAGAATGGAGCATTTTATGAAACACCAAAGTGACTATTTCATATCGCATGGACTACACTAAAAATAAAAATAAAACAATAGCGAAAAATGTCATTAAAGTAATGATCATTAATGTGTATCTTATACACAAGTAATTAAAACATAAATATATTCATGGTTATATAGACGTCAAATATCGTGCGGTATGAAACTTTACCGATAATCTGGCGTCCACATATAGAAATATAATAAAATTCAAAATATGGACGTCAAATATCATTCAGTATGAATTTTTTAGGATATTCGGACGTCCCTATTATTATATGTAGCTAAATCGAAGGACACGAAAACAAATTGGAAAGTAAAATTATCTACTAGCACTGAGTACAGTATAAACCGACAAAAAATACGAAAATATGCCTTGAGGACTAAATAAATAATCAACATAAATAAATAGTAAAATGCAATAATCAACAACAACTTTGGACATCGGATATCGAAGAAGTGGACGTCAAATAAAACTTAGTGTGAATATTTTAGGATATTCTTACGTCCGTATATGGGTAAATACTCCGTTCAATGTCCATGCCAAGTACATTAATCAACTTACGCAAGTTTATTTACCTAAGTTACTAAATATAACCAATGAAACTTAAATGCAAGCAAGCATAAACGTGAAAAGTTCTCAATGTGCGTAGGTCACATTACGGACGCCAATTAGAGCACGATATCCATGTTTTTAGTAATATAGCGTCCAATATTTATAACAACAACACAAACAAATTGTATTTCAACTAAGTGCAAAACCAAACATAATATCATAATTTAACAAAAATAGCCTTTCACAAAAATGAATCTAGTTAAGTAGAGAGTAATTTTGTACAGATTAGGTAAATAGTTCGCACTCATCCTTAAGATAGTGATCATAAAAAGTAAACTTGTAGTGGGAGCACCAAAACTCAATACGATCAAGTAAATAAATTATATTTTCGGAGTTATTCATGTCAGTAACAATACGCCACGGTCTATTGTAGAAATTAACAACCATTTGGCAGTTAATCCAGTAAAACCTTATATTAAAATGAGTTTATTGTCAAGGTCATATTAGGTTATTAGTCACAATATAAGAAAATGAACTTCTATTAAACCTGTCAATATTTACAATTAGTACTTATTTACAATAGTAAAATAAATAATAATATAGTCAATCTCTAATGTATCACGGCTGGGCAATCCTAGATATTTTTTCGTATTTAGTAAACGAATAACTAGTTGGTAAATTAATTATGATATCTGTTTTTTTTTTTCGCCGAAGACAAAAATGATATCGCGTATTTTTCGTAACTGCACATTCTGTGGATTTATTTCATTATTTTGAACAATATACGAAACTTAAGTGACTAAAATTAAATCTAATCTGAACCAGAATCATAAAAACTGTATTATTCGTGCTAAACGAATCTAATAAAGATCTGTTATTTTTGTCTCCTGCGAAAAAAAACAGACTATAGGAATCTATCGAATACCTACACAAACAAAATATCACCTATAAATAAAATATTACAAAGCGGAATAACTATTAAGAGTGGCAACGTCGCACCATAGAAAGGAATTGCGTTAAGCAGGAGAATGAATCAAAAACTATGTATATTACGGGGATTCTGGATAATTTGTAATATGGAAGGGGGTCGTGATTGATTTCCCTCCGTCTGGCAATATACGAATATTTGTATATCGACATATGGTAAATTTTCAAAGAAATGAGTTAAACACTATCTTTGAAATTGTTGAATGGACCAATATTCGCTATCATAATGTATAAAAATTGCCTACAAGTGGTGGACGCTACAATAATGCGAAATGAAAGGACGTAGAATCAATATTGAGATGTATATATACACACCCTAGATATATATATAAAACGACTTTGTTCGCGTGGAATCAGTATTTTTGCTATTCTAAGTGATGACGATTTATTTTGTAAATTAAACTGTCGCTAAGACTTATAAAGATGCTAATCTGAATAAAAACATTGACATTGAATAAAAAATTTGATATGAAAATCCAATGTCCACCTAAAACTAAGTACCTACACTAACAAAATAAATGAAATTGCGTTAAGTATCTTTTATATTTTGTCTCATCCTGCAAACAAATGAACAATAAAACTAAACTCAACCTAGGAAAGTTTTTTGACCTTTAAACAATAGGTGTCATCGGGCTTAAAATCAGTTGGGTTTTCCCATCAAGAAATTCTCAGTGGCGGCCTGGAGTTATACTATATTATACTAGCTTGCCAGGCAGACATTGTTCTGCCCTTTTCGGCGACCCTTCTAGTCTTACTTTCTAGTCTAGATGAGAATAATTTTTTATTCAATATAGCTTAAATGTGATTCTTATTAAGTAATTTTTTTATTTACCACTTCGGTTTGGATAGAGCAGGCTGGCCTATAAAGAAACACCAACAAAGAAATTCATACTACTTGTATCAGAGTCCATTTTGTAAAAAAAAATGTATGCGACACTGAGCAATAAAGTTTTTCCTCCAACCTCTATTTTGTTAGGGTCAGAAAAGAAGAGGAAGGGAAAAGTCACACAAACAAACTCTGCAATCAGGTTAACAATACAATAGTAGTGGAGCTCAAGCGGGGGTTTCAGGATTTACTCGAGCGCGGCAGAATAACATGAGGGGGGGAAACCTTGCACCCTACTAAGTACCCCCAACAAATGTGGGCTCTTTATATAGGGACCTGCGCTTAGGGCAGCCGATCAGAATAGTAAAAAAAAATAGAAAGGTCGAAAAACTCAAGCGCATCAGATCAAGGCAAAGTGAGTTAATTA